TGTATGTTCAGGACTGCATTGCAACATTGATTGTTCGGATCACTGGTATCTAAGTCTTCCGTTGTGCTATCTTATACTTTGTATTGAAAGGTCGGCTCTTGTTCTGGTCTGCACGTTACAGTATGCAATTGTTTGGTATCGGAGCGGACCTCTCATTCAGAGGACCCGCTCAATCAAGTAGCCAGCTTGCGATCTATTGATCACTCATTAGTAACGCAAGTAGGACTTAGTCAAATCTCTGAATTTTTTTTCTCGCAACAACTATCTGAAATTTCTGATATTCGCATTTTCGTTCTATCTGAAAATTTCTGATATTAGTAGTTCGTTTTTACGTGACAAATATCTGAAAATTTCTGATAAATCGCATTTGTGGTTGTCTGAAAATTTCCAATAGTAGCAATTCATTTCTCTGATATTTCGCATACATAGCTGAAATTTCTGACGTTAGTATTTTCTGAAAATCGCATTTCCATTCTATCTCGCAAAATTTTTTTGAAAACCGAATCTTGCAAAGCCTACCAATATTGCGTTAGGCATATTCGGAGGTTGCTATATTCTCAGAAACTGGATTTCATTCTTTTCTGAAAATCGCATCTTTACTCCATTTCGCAATTTTTTTTTTCAAGATCGCAGTTTGTAAAAGCCAAAACTTTGCGGCACCTAGCCTAGATCTCGTTCATAATACTCTTCTGGCATATCCTACTCATCATAAATCGACAGATATATACAAAAAAAAAAAAGGAAGTAGTCCTCTTTTGTTTTTATTTTTTAATTTTATCTGTTGATTAGGGCCGGAGGAAAGTATTGTTGGGTTGGTTACCTAACTACATTTTCCCTCCCACCCACCCCTTGCATGCATCCCGGTTCGGTACAGTGCCAAGTCAGCAGCGCCACGTCACAGTGCCAGATCAACAGTGCCACGTTACAGTGCTAGGTCACAGTGCCATGTCAGCAGTGCCATGTCACAATGCCAGATCAGCAGTGCCACGTCAGCAGTGCCAGGTCACAGTGCCACGTCAGCAGTGACGTCAGACACAGTGCCACGTAAACAGTGCCACATCAACAGTGCCACGTCAGACACAATGCCACGTAAGCAGTGCCACATCAGCAGTGCCACGTAAGCTGTGCCACATCACCAGTGCCACGTCAGACACAGTGCCACGTCAGACAAAGTGCCACGTCAGCAACATGACGGGCCTGCCAGGCCAACTGCCCAACGAGTCCCTTGCAGCCTACAAGCAGCGGTTCGAGGCTCAGATAGAGGCTGAGGAACAATGCCAGCTGGCAGCCGAGGCTGCCCGCGTACAGGTTGAAGAGGCAGCAGCAGCAGAACAACTGCAGCTACAGGACGATGCAGACGCAGATGCCCAGGCTCGCAGCAAGGAAGCCCAGGATCTGCTCCAACGGCATGAAGCCAACAGCATCGACAGACTCAAGTACTGGCATTTTGAACCGAACGACGACGAGGCAACACCGGAAGAGAAGCACAAGGAGTTCCTCTCCAAACTCGTGACGCGGTTGTTGTATGCTTGTAACTACCAACGGTCAGAGTTGGAGAGACAGTACCAGGACCTGACACAACAGCATCAGGAGTTGGCACAGCTCCGCCGCATGGTGCAGAGCCACGAGGATGCAACTGGGGCACTCAATGCCCGATTGTTGGACCTGGAACAGGCTGTACCAGGACCAGCTGCTGGGGCTTCCAGCAGTGCACCCTCTAGTCGCCAACTGAAGGACCGCGTTGACCACGTAGTGGCAATGCTCGGCGACATCAGCACTTTCGCTGCGCCGACCACCACCATCAGCAGTCAGATGCATACATTGAAGACCGAGGTCCAGCAGCTGCAGACAACGAACGCGGATGGCAACCCGAAGATGCATAAGATGCCAACTTTCAATCTGGAGAGGTTCGACGACTACACGCAGCAGGATCCGGTCCTCTGGTGGGAAGCATTCACAACGCAACTCAGGATTCTGCCCGTAGCCAAACATGCGTACATCGGGGCCCTGTTTCTGAACTCAAAGGGCGGATGCCAGACCTGGTTGAGCCACCTGGCAACCTCCCACGGCGTCGACGTACCAGACTTAAGGACCAAATCACATGGGAGGAACTGACACGGCTATGGAAGAAGTGGTTCATGGTCGACGACGTGCCGACACTCGCCATCAACCGTTTGTTCACCATGTCACAGGGCAACACTGCAACACGGAATTGGCTCACAGAGTGGTAGAAGATTGCGGCAGTGCCCAATCTGGAGCTGCCTTTCACTCATCTCAGACGTGAGTTCTACAACAGATCCTGCGGTGCATTGAGCCAGGCTCTTGGTGATCGCGAGCAGTACTCCACTTTCGTCGAGATTATCGACAAGACGAGAGAGATCATCAAGACCGTCTGCTGTACACGAGAAGTCACCATGGCAGCCGACCTATGTGGAGAAGGTACGAACTGGTCCGCGACAGCAGCACTTCGCTGCAGTCCAGCAGGACAATGGAGATAA